GAAAGCCTCCAGCCAGGCCTTCCAGGGCTTAGAAATAAGGAGGTTCCTTAACTCAGGTTTTTGCCAAATGATAGCATTTCTCTCCTCTTTCTTCTCTTTTTGAGCTCCCTCCCTGCTTCTTTTTCCTACTGGAATTTCTAATGGGTATGGATCTATGGGTAGCAGCATGAAAAAAGATAAGTAAAAATTGTTATCATTCCATTGCCAATGGAAAAAAAAAGATAAATGTATTTCTGCTATACTGTGGCGGGGTCATGTAGACTACCCTACACATTAGCATGTGAATTCTATGTGACTGCTTAGCCCAGTGTTGGGGGCAGGGTAGGTGTTAATAAATAGAGTGGGGCCAGAAGTTGTAATTATTGTACCTAATGAATCATTAGAAATGGAAACATTATTTGGGCAGATCTCTGCTGCCTTAGTAGAATTTGCTGATTTGCATACTATACCAGATAGGTCATTAAGAACAAACAAACATACAAATTTTAGATTTATCTTTTCTATGATCCAGCAATCCCACTACTGGGTTTTTTATCCAAAGGAAAGTAAATCAGTATGTCAAGAGATACCTGCACCCCCATATTTATTGCAGCACTATTCATAATAATCTATTCATAATAGATTCCATAAGATATGGAATCAACCTAAGTGTCCATCAATGCATGAATGGGTAAAGAAAATATGGAATGGAATATTATGGAATGAAATACTATCTGGCAGTAAAAAAAGAATAAAATCCTGTTATTTGCAGGATGGATGGAGCTGGAGGTCATTATGTCAAGTGAAATAAACCAGACGCAGAAAGACAAATATCGCATATTCTCATATGTGGGCGATAACAAAAGTGGATCTCATGGAGGTAGAGAGTAGAATGACACATACCAGAGGCTGGGAGGTGGGGTAACAAGGGGAGCTTGGTTGATGGGTATAAACATATAGTTAGACAGAAGGAGTGAGGTGTGGTGTTCGATAGCTCAGTGGGGTGACAATTATTAACAATAGTATATTGTATAATTCAAAGTAGCTGGAAGGGAAGATTTGAAATGCTCCCAACACAAATAAATAATAAATGTTTGAGGTGATGGGTACCCAGACACCCTGATTTGATCATTACATGTTGTTTTCATGTATCAAAATATCACACGTACCCTATAAATATGCATACTTATTAGGCATCAATAAAAAAATTTAATACAAACAAGGCAACTTTCTGTTTTAGCACATGCTTGGGTAACTCTCTTTCCTTGGGGAAAAAAAAAACCCAGAAGGAAACTTAGTTGGGTCTGGGGTTGGTCTTCCTCCACATGAAATCCACCCATGGAGAAGTCCTCGGTCCCCACCTACACCTGCCGGAGGATGCTGTGACCCTGCCCTCAGCCTGGCAGCAGCTGGAGGGGACGAGAGGGACACTGAGGGTGCAGGCTGTTTTCCTATGCCCCCTCCCCCACCATCTTTGTGGCCAGGACTGCTCCTTCTGTAAAAAAGAGAAGTGGTGTCCCCTAAGCCTGGTTTGTCTTTTCTCTCTATCCCATGTCTTTGAAGTTCCTAGGGACCTTGTGCTTTGCTTGGGTGTGGGTCATGGAGTGGGCTGGGGGCTGGGGTCTGTGGTGGGGGTTCTGTTCAGTGTGTTCCCAGTCAGGAAGATGTGACCAAATATAGAGGTTCAAGGTGGGAGCCAGGGCAGTACAGCTACCGCCATCCTTACTTGGTTCTCATACTTCCTTCCTCTCTGCTTTTCATGACAGAAGTAGTTTCTCAGTCTGAAATCACTGGGTTGCAAAGAACAGAAATGGTCCTTCAATTAGTGCAGACAAATGAGACATTTCTTCCAGAGTTGGGCAGGGCACTGAGATGCTTCCCCAAAATAAGGGAAGAGAGGCTGCAGGAGCCAAGGTTTTTTCTCATCACTGTTTGCCTGTACCTGTTTATCTGTGCTCCTCTCTGACTGTTAATTAATTTCTACCACTTCCCAGAGGCTTTCTTCTCCTGTGAGGCACATGACCACCCTGCTTAGCAATCCCTGCAGAAAAAGAGTGCCTTTTCCCCTATAGTATTCTTAGCTCAATTCCAGGGAAGAAATCTGAGTTTCCTTACTTGGGCCACATGTCACCATTGCCAGAACATGGACCATTAGGCTTTGTTAGTCCTTGGTCAAATGCCCACCCCTCCAAGGAGGAGTTCAGGTTCCATCAACAGAAGAAAGAGGGTGGGAAGTTTTGCTGAGTAGACAATAACCAAAAAGTGCTCTAGCAGGCACGAGACCTAAGCAGGCCATGTAGTCCTTTTCCCATTGTTGGCAGAATCCATCAAGGTAGGTGCTGTCAGCGTTTCCTTCCTGTGGCTGATCAGTGGAAGCCAATCATAGCAGTCCCATCCCTCCCTGACGGTGACTGGTTTAGGCACATGCATGTGATGTAATTCTGGCTAATGTGGTATAAAGAGACACCACCTTGGAGACTTCTCAGTCCTTAAAAGGGGGATCTCTTATGCTGACCATTATCTGGTCTGTGAGGGATGCCTGGAGCTCTTGGACCAGCCTGCAGCAGTGAAGGCTTAGTCAAGGTCAAGGCTGGCAGAGCAGAGCAGAGCCTGGTCCTTGAGGATCTGGTTGAGCCACTGAATTAACCAACCCTGGGGCCACCTTCCCAAGGGCATTTTGTTTATGAGAGAGTACATTTTCTCTCTCTCTCTCTCTTTCTCTTCTTTCTTTCTTCTTTTTTCTTTCTTTCTTTCTTTCTTTCTTTCTTCTTCTTTCTTTCTTTCTTTCCTTCTTTCTTCTTCTTGCAGAGTCTCACTCTGTTGCCCTGGCTAGAGTGCTGTGGCATCAGCCTAGCTCACAGCAACCTCAAACTCCTGGGCCCAAGCAATTCTTCTGCCTCAGCCTCCCAAGTAGCTGGCACTACAGGCATGTGCCACCATGCCCAGCTGATTTTTTCTATGTATTGTTAGTTGGTCAATTAATTTCTTTCTATTTTTAGTAGAGACGAGGGTCTCACTCCTGCTCAGTCTGGTTTCGAACTCCTGACCTTGAGTGATCCACCCACCTTGGCCTCCCAGAGTGCTAGGATTACAGGTGTGAGCCACCATGCCTGGCCTCATTTTCTGTACTGTTTAAACCAGTGGTTTTCAATGTCCTGTCTTTGGACCAGAATATCAGCATCCCCTGAGAACTTGTTAGAAAAGCACATTCTTGAGCCTCACCCAGATCTGCTGAGTTAGAAATGCTGGGGTTGGGACCCAGTCATTTGTTTTTAAACAAGCCCTCCAGGTACATGCTCAAGTTTGAGAAGCACCATTTAATATAGTTGAGTCAGGATTGGAGGGGCATTTGGTTCCATTTACTTGCAGCTGAAAGTAATTGGGACCCTTATGACAGAAAGAGTTTGGAAAGAACCTAGAATCATTCTAATTGACCCTGTCATCTTATATCTGTGACCCAGTTTAGGAAGGAACAATATGCAAGGTGTGGAGCCTTCCTGCTTCCCCTGAAGTCTGGGCCCTTGGAGCCTGAGAGCTCTTATTCTCATTTGCACTGTCATCATCCGGAAATCTGTACTTTCTCTTACTTTGCTTTGGGGACCTGCATAGGGCAAGTCACACAGACTCTTTACTTGATGCCATTAACTTCAAGATGCCTGTATCAGCCAGGGTCCTGGCAGGAAGCAGATGGCACATTCCAATGGGACAATCAGAACAGCATTTAATAAAGGGGTTGTTTGCAAAGGTGTGGGCAGGACAAAGGGAACCCTACCAGGGATGGTGCAGAATCCCTGGGCTGGTACCAGCACTGATATCCCAGGCCTGAAACAGAAGGAGAAATACAATTACTGGAAACTAGGGAGAGCCCCCCTCCTCATATGCCCTCATCCTAATCCCCCTGGAACCCGTGGATGTGACCTTATTTGGAAAAAAGGTCTTTACAGATCTAATTAAGTTAAGGATCTTGAGATGAGATCATCCTGGTTTATTTGAGTAGACTTCAAATCCAATGACAAATGTCCTTATAAACGAAAGGCAGAGGGAGATTTGGGACAGACAGAGAGAAGAAGATGCAGAGAAGAGGGGGAGGCGATGTGAACACAGACAGATTGGAATGATGAGGCCACAGATGAAAGAATGCTGACAGCCCTCAGAAGCTGGAAGAGGCAGAGAACAGGTTCTCCCTGAGCCCCCAGAGGGAGCATGGCCCTGTCAACACCTCAACTCCAGATTGCTGGCCTCCTGGGACTGTGGGAGAACAAATTCCTGTTGTTTATAAGCCACCAAGAGTAGTAACTCATGACAGCAGCCACAGGAAACTAATGTAGTAGCTCTATGGAAAGGACCATGTGCCAGGAGCTGTAAGGAGCCCAGTCAACCTGGGACAATGCTGCCCAGAAGGAACAGGGAACCAGTTTGTCACTGTCTTCCTTCCCTTCGGCCTCCTGAGGGGCCTCCCATTGGCCAAACCCAGATGAAAACCATAGAGCAAGAGAGCCCCTTGGCGTGGTCCCTAGGGTTGGCCTCCTGACACTCAGCAGGATGGAAAAGGCTGGACCTGGAGTGACAACCTGGTGTACACACTACGGCAGGAAAACACAACTGAATGGTGAACACCGAACAGCCACGGAAGGATAAGGTGCAAACACTGACATGAGATGTTGGTGGCAAGAATTAGTGCTTTGCAAAGTTGAGGGGAAAAAACCAATCTGTCTGGAAAAGCTGGTGGAAGAAGTAGAAGTTAAAGTCATGCCTGAGTAGTGGGAGAAAGACGAGTTGATGATGCAGGGTGAGGCAGTGCCTGGAAGACAGCTAGAGATGGTGGGGGGACAAGAGTAGGGGACATGGGTGACTAGCACGCGCTTAAGGTGAGTGGGGAAACCTGGTGGGAAGAGGGGAGAACTGGGGAACTGCTATAGAACTTAATGTAGAACTTTGACATTTTTGCAAATTTATGGCATTGTGGTTCAATCAGCGACAAGGTCACCACGGAGGGCCCTAACCTTCCCTTCTTCTGACAGGTGAGGACAACCTCATCAGACCTAGCCTCGTAGCCTATGGAGTGCTGCCTCCCAGAAAGGTGGCCGGGTGAGTGCTGGGGTCAGTTCTGTGTCCCCTGGTTGAGGATGCGCAGGGCTCGGAGGACACACGCTGGGCTGGATGGAGTAGAGGCGCCTGGGGTCATCACCCCAGAGGCAAGTTGCTAGGCAGGGGCGGGGGAGGGTTTGGACTCAGACTCATCAGGGCCACTGCCCCATGTGACCCTAAGTGATGCATTTTGTCTTCCTTGTGCCTCTCTCAGGAAAATGGGAAGAATGAATTTCTCTCTTTCTGTCTCACAGAGACTTGGAAAAGAAAGAATAATAGCAAATAAACCAAGAGAAATCAATAAATGACAAGCACTCATTCACTAAACTACACAAAATTATCTAGATACAAAGTAGGGAAGAAAAACAAAGGGCTGGAGGGCGGGGTGGAAAATGCAGAAACCATTTAGGTGTGGGTTAAGGAGGGATGCAGGAATGAACATTTCTTAGCAGGAGAGAAATGTTCCACTCAACAAATTTTACTTCCCTTTGCAGATGATCCAAGAGGGAGGACCGTCATCTAAGTGGCTCTTCACTCCAACATGTGACCATCTGGCCAGAGAAATTGTTCTTAAGAGTGTGAACTACCTGGCAGCTTCTATTCCAGCCCTCTCCATCCACCTTGTAAGGTATAGCAGCAACAAGGACAAACCAAGTTACCAAGGAACAGAAAACATTTGTTTGGTCACTTGCCAAGTGCTCCTGAGCCAGAGATCTGGGCATCGGACCCTGGAGGGGCCCTTCAGCCTGAGGAGCATGGTGCACGTTTCACAGTGAGCAGTGGCTGTCTCTGCCATGTACAGGAGCCAGGGGGTTCGCAGAGTTTACATACAGAGGTGTGCGTGTGCGTGTGCGTGTGTGTGTGTGTGTGTGTGTGTGTGTGAATGTTAAATGTTATTTGTGTGTCTGCGTGCAATGCTATGCCAGTGAAGTTGGATGTACTTCCATGCACAAGATGGGGTCTTGGCCTTGGCAGTGAGGAGCTGTACGTGTGGCTGTGAGTGACAGCAGAGTCCGGGGCCTCCGGGGGCCTGTCACCTGCAGGACTCATTTATAGAGGAGACCAGGTGCTTGGAGTGTCCCCAAAGCAAGGCAGAGCGCACTGTCATGAGCTTGAAAAATACTCCTGCGAGAGATATAAATAAAGACTCTAAGCCCAAAGCCAGGGTTTTAGAAAGCCATCCTTAAACACAGGATAATTTATGGCCACTGCTGTCTCTTCCCATGGATGACTCAGCTCTCCTAGCCCAGTGGGCCCAGCCTGCTCCAGTAACCTTTGCCGAACGGGAAGAGCTGAAGCAGACTCCAAGGGACCCTGTGATGGAACCACCCAGCACAGGATGGGCTTTGGCTCAGACACCCTTCCCTCCACCCCCAGCCCACCATCCAGCCAGCAGGAGGCAGCATTCTCAGGACAAAGACCCGCTTGAAACTCAAGACTTTCTCTCAGTCTCAGAGACTCTTGAGCCCAATAGGAAGAGTAGAAATGAGAGTGCTTTTCCCTTTTATTAAAAAAATAATACATACCCAAGTCAAGTGCCAATAACTGGCTGGAAAGAGGGGGCAGGCAGAGATCTGCCTAAATATTGTGGTAACTTGGTGGTGGGAGGTAGTTAGCAAGGAACAGGATTCGTTTTCCAACTCTCTCTCTCTCTGCCCCCTACACCTGTCTTCTTTCTTTATATATTTTTAGCAGACTCTTTGGCCAACCATGTCTAAAGAGACAGATGCAAGTACAGACGGTGCATACCAGAACCAAAGGATGTTTCTTTTTCTTCTTTTTGCCTTAAAGACCTTCCAGTAGTATGGAAAGGACTGGAAGTGCCTGAAGGTCTTTTTTAGCCACATGATTTACCCTGACTTGGATCTCGGGTACATTTTTATGCCAAGGCCCATATGCCTGACTGTCCAAGTGTAGGGAAAAAAAATCATCATTCAGGGCTATTTTAAAAATAGTTTAGCTCTTTAATCAAATTGCTACAGCCTTGAGTAAAGTTTTTTCTGCTTTAGCAGATGAATTTGTGCAACTGGCCTAATTTTAACACAGGGTCCAGCACCTACTAGGTATGCAATAATTTTCCAACAGATGAATAATACCTTGAATCTTAAATGAAGTGCCCTCATTAAACATGCATTTATTAAGTCACCTGTGTGTGTGTATGTGGGCACATGTGGGTGTGTGTCTATGACAGTGTGTCTTCAAAGGCCTCTTCTCGCAAGAACATTCCATGATTCAGTGACCTATATTCTGGGCACACACAGTCATATGCTGATACTTTGATTAATCCCTGGGAAGGAAGTTTCAAGTTAGCTGAGTTAAAACACTTACTCCCCCACACACTGGAAACCTATGTGAACCTACTTCATAAATGACAGAAAGCAGAGGCCCCTGGAAGCTGCATGCCTAGACCCACAGCGTTTCTGCCTGGTCTGGCCTGGCATTGCAGGGAATGCGTAATGCTTGCTCTGGATCCACAGCCCGGTCTGCTGAAGTTTGTCACTGTCCCCTGCCTCCTCGTTCTCATCTTTCCATCTGAGGAGGGTCTTCCACATTCTTGGCTTCTAGAGGGCCCCATGCTCTCCATCACCTATGTCTTTCCTTGTCTTCAAACTAAAAAAGGCTGCATTTCCCCCTGTTTGTGCGGATTGATCAGCACACATGGATGGGTGAGATTGGGAGATCCCTGCTCTTTATAGGGAGGAAACAGATGCACAGAGAGGTGAAGAGACTCCCAAGGTCACACAGCTGGGGAAGAGCAGCAACCCAGCCCTTTATTCTGATCTAGAATTGGTCTATAATAATTGTTAAGTAAGAGCCACAGCTATATTCCACAAGCCTGCCTCTTGAGGTGGCATTGAGGCTGAGTGACTCTGCCCTTTTGATAGCTGATTGCTCTGTTTGGATCAATTCTATTTGGTACGACTTCCAGTGGTTTCCTCTATCTTATTTGGGATAAACACACTGCATTAGGGATTCATGGACCTGGCTAGGCCTCCCAGATGGGATCTGTTTTCTGAGGTTCTCAGCCATCAGCCCCAGCAACCCTTGGTTCTGAAGACCGCAGGGAGGCCCTTTGGTAAGAATATAGCCTTGCCTTTCTGCTTTTCGTTCCAGAGCGAGAGAGGCCCCTTCTGTTGCAAAGTTGGGCCTGGACGCCTCCACTGTGCACTCTCACCCTGATCATCTGCAGGTCTTGGCTGAACACTTTATAGACAGAGGATAGCATTTGGGTACAAGAAGGTCTTGTAAAGCCAAAAAAAGTCCCACTGGTTAGAGCTGGAAGAGAGACAGACACACACGAGGATTCTGTTACTCAGACGAAAGGGCCCATGTGCCTGCACATGGATGACAGGGGTGGTCTTTGGCCCCAGACGGCATGATTCTGACCCGACTGGCTTGTGAAATGGGCTGCTCACATACATCGAGGCCCCTGCCGAGGTCACGGGGGGCCCATACGCCTGATTACCCTGGGAAAGGAAGATCTGTGGTCTCTGGAGACAATTCAGCTGAGTGAGGAAGGAGAGGAGAGGCGGGGAGCAGAGACAGGGGGTGTCCTGCCTGCAAACCCTTCCTCCACCCCCTCGCCCTTCCCCACCCTCAAGTCAGAAGAGCCAACAGCATGGGCCAGACCAGGGCCAGCTGACACTGTGGCCTGTTTATGCCCCGTAACCAGAGCCTGTTCTCGCAGAGGCTGCCTGACAGCTGCGGAGATAAAGGGATGGGCCGCCGCCGCTTCCAGAGATTGGGTGACCTGTGCTGGCGTCCGTCTCGCGGCAGCTGATCCCGAACATTTTCTCAGGACAGAGGGTGGGAGAGGTGGAGCCGGCCACTAGCTACTGCCCGCGGCGGCGGGTCCTGGAGCCCTCTCCTGAACTTTCTCAAGTGTTACCTCCAAATCCCTGTCTCCCCATGGAGTTGCTTTCTCCAGGGTCGAGGGAGGTGAGAGAGGAGTTCTGCATGTTTCATAGGTCTGTTTTCCTCTCTCTTTATCTTTGTCATCACAGAAACTAAAAAGAACACGTGGTGCAGATCTGGGCCAGGCAGAATTCTAGATTCTGCTGCCAAATGCATCTCTCAGGCCAGAGTGCTTCTCTCCTCGCCCCCACGCCAGGCCTGCCCTCAAAGGCCAGCTCCATCTTCCTTCCCATCTGGGTCCCCTCCGCTCCAGGAGGCAGAGGCAGAGACCACCCTGCACCCAGCCCAGCCTGCAGCCCCCCGCCAGGAGCCTGGGGCGGTGAGCTCTCCCTGCCAGGATCTGGCGAGGCTGAAAATTCTTCAAGCCAGTTCACCCTGCTGGCTCTTCCACGGCTGTGTCCTGTCCCTCACCCGATTCCATATCCTGATGCTTTCGGTTAGGCTCCTGCCTCCTCATCTCCCTGCTTGTATCCCATTAACTGCCCCTGCAGCAGCTGGCTCTGCCTGTGCCCCGCCGGCAGGCCCAGGTGCCTTGAAAGTGGGTACACATCATGTCCTGGTTCTCAATGTTCACGCCTCTTGTGATATTTGCGATGGTTAACGTGTTCCTTCCTTTGGTCTCCTGCTCCTTACCACTTTGGCTGGGGATTGGGGGTGGCAGGGGCAGATTTAGTTCATGCTGGAGCCCGGCCCTGGCATGGCCACTGACTGGTGCTCTCGGGGCTGGATGCCAGAGTGGTTTCCACTGTCCTGGCCCGTCCCGCTTCTGGTGGCAGCCTGGGCAGGGGCGCAGGGGGAGCTCACGGGACTGGCTGAGTTTGTTCAACAGCTGCCTCCGAAAGGAAGAGGTGAGAGTGAGATTAGAGGGTACGGGAAAAACAGCAAAAACCAAGGCATTTAGAGTCAGAGAAGTCCGAGTTCAAGTCCACGCATGGTTGCTGACGAGCCATGCGAAGTAGACTGTTTCTGCATCTTTTAAAATGGGAATGATGATGTTTCACACTTCTCGTGGTGGATGTCAGGGTGATGGACATACTGGAGGGAAAGATGCTTGGGAAATTGTTTTCTTACTGTCTGGTTCATAGTGGTGTGCCAGGAGAAAAGAAAGGAAGGAAGGAAAGAAGAAAGGAGGGAAAGGAGGAAAAGAGGGAGGGAGGGAGGGAGGCAAGAGGAGTACAGAACTTTCTGAGAACTGTGCTTTTTCAAGTACTGAAATCTGAAGCAAACTGGACTTAGAAGCTGCTGAGTTCGCAGGTTCTGGTTCCAAGATTTGCTGTGTCTCCACTTTGCAACTGTTCACTCACTGATGAAATTTTCCTTCTTTTTTCTTTCCCTTGATCAGAGTCTCAGGGAGCAAAGAGGGCACCTGTCATAATGCCTGGCACAGAGCAGCAGTTTAATCAACGGTGGTTTGTGCTCCTGAGCACGTCTCAGGGAGGACGGAGGCCTGGCCACCTCTCCTGGCCACTTGCTCTGTGCCCCATTCTCAGGGTTTGCCTTGGGTTCTGGCTCTCAGACCTCTCCTGCTCCCTCCCACTTCGGGCCTCTCCATGGCTCCTTTGTGCCTGGAGCACTTTCTGCTGCAGGTCACCTCCAGGACTCTGCCACTTTCCAGCTGAGTGACCCAGGTGGGTCACTGAACCCGTCTAGGTTTCAGTTTCCTTATTTGTAAAGAGAAAAACTAGACACGATCTTTGGCTTGCTGGGAGAGCCACATGGGATCTAGGAAGGGTGGCACTTAGTCCAAGGCCTGCCTCTGAGTCAGTGCACAGGGGACAGCAGCTCCTGTGACGTTTTGCTTATTACAGTATGTCCTTCCTTCTCTCTGTTCCCCGGGAGCTGCCACCGTCCATTCTGTTCTTTGTCCTGCTTCTTCCCAAACAAAGGCAGAGTGGGGCACTCTGTCCCCAGCTGCCATTTTCTCACTGCAAGACAAGTCCATCACCTGCCCACCTACCTGCCCACATCTCTGTTTTACTAAACGTGGGAGAAGGTATAAAAATTTTAGAACTTTATAAAGTCCTACAAGCATACATCTGAATAATAACTTTCCTGTTGGAACAATAGCTAGAAGCTCTGTTGGGTGTGTTTGCCTCTTGCTTGAATTCTTTATTTTTTTTTTTAAGCAAAAACACACATTTATTTACTAACCAAAGACTCCTAATTAAACCAACACTTTGAAATAGCTGTATGTAAAATGTTTGTGATAAAGATAATTAAACATGGTAATGAAAAACAGAAACAAAAATGAAGAGGCTGAGTGGAAAAATTTGTTACTTGAACTGAGATGTTTCTTCTCACAGCTCGTTGCTGTCCAAAGCCATGATGACATTTTTATTCTACTTTCTTCATAGATCTGAGTGTGGGTGACATTGTCCATCATGCCTTCCACTGCCACTTTTTTTGTCTTCCACTTTTGTTGTCTACCGTGTTTTCTCTCTCATTCCATTCCTGGTGCTGAACCAATGCACCATTTATGAAGTTGCAGACAGTCTGAGCTTTTCTCCTGTCAGCTGTAATGCCTTCAAACTTCTCTCCAAGTTTAGAAGAAGACTGTGCTGTTTTCAAAGTGCTCTCAGTTTTTATGGTGAGGCTTTTGCCATCAGATGGGATGGCACCATCTGGTTTCTGGTTTCGCCGTTACACCATTTTTTTGCACTACCATTCTCACTCCTGCTTCCTTCAGGTAGTTGCTGTCTGCCAGGCACCACCTTCCTAGCAGCCACTGCTTGAAGACCCTGGTGGGTGACAAGCTAGCAGGATCCCGTGGGGAGTGGGTGCCCTCCTGCTCGAATTCTTAGTAGTGGAGTTCACAAAACCGCAGCCCCGCACCCCCTGTGCATTTCTGACTTATTTCAACTTAAGCCTCCTGGATGGCTCTCCCCTTCTCAGAAGGAGATGGGGAGATGCAACTAAGGAAGAACACTCTATGGGGGTCCGCTGCACCAGTGATGAGCTTTCCCCTGGGGGTGGGGAAGTGAGACGAGATTTCCTTAGCAGTGGTTCTCAAACTTCAGTGTGCAGAAAATCACTGGGGTGCTTTGTAAAAAACATCATTTCTAAAAAAATATCTACCCCTCCCCTGAATTGATTCTGATTCATTAGTTCCAGGGAGGGGCCCACGAATTTGCACCTTAGCTCTTCAGATGAATCTGAGGCAGGTGATCTAGGGAACCCCAACCACAACTGTGAACACTAGGAAACATCTTTTGCTTGTTCCATAGTAAGCGTGTCACTACCAGGTTGTCACTGTCACAAGCCAACCCGAGTCAATCTGCCCAAGCACAACTCTTGGGCATTTTTCAATAGTTAATGGTAGAGCCAAAGAAACTTGAGCTGGAAGAGTCTGGCTGTTCCTTCTTTTCCCTGTCACCATGTTCTAATGCAAGTAAGTCTCGGACTAGACTCATACTTATGGTTATTAAGTCTGCATTTATGATTAAACAGGCATCTGCTCTGTTAACTTAAATAAGTCCCTGCTGTCTGTCCTTGTAGATCCTCTGACCTCCCACCAAAGGTTCATTCAAGGCAGAAGCAACACAATTCCAAAGGCAGGATCCTGTTACCCTGATAATTGGCATCGGACCATTAAAGACCTCTTGACCAGTGGCTGGACACAGGACTACTTGGGGGTAAAGTCCCAGAAGCCATGCTAGGTGCAGGGCTAGCAGGTCTCCATTAGTTGACATCCCTGAGTGTTTCTCAACAATTTGAGCCAATCCCCATATTGTGAATATCTTTAACTTAATAAGAAGAACTCATTTCCAACATTCTTCATGCTAATAAAAATTCACCAGTAAAAGCCCAGTTTGGACCAGCAAGTTGGCAAAGTCTTAGATGCGATCAAGATCTGGATACTCACAGGACGAGGGAAGGCTGACCCTGGAGCATGGCCACCCTCTGCAGGACTTCCCGAGCTCACACCTTCACTTGGCTTCCTCCTTCCCTAGTTCCCGTACTGGCTCCTCTGGGAGGCACTTCCACAATAAATTATTCCATAAGAATCCTTCTTTTCGGGTCTGCTTCTGGGGAACCTGTGGGCTATGCATTTCTGCAAGGTGGTCGTTCTCTGATTTGAGAGCAAATCAGCATTGCCAGAGGTGCTGGTTAAAAATGCAGATTTCAAGGTCATATCGCAGAGACCGTGATTCAGCAGGGTGGGGGCAGGTATCTGCAATTTAGCAAGCTCTTTGCGGGATCCTGCTGTCGGTGGTCCTGGGGCTTCTTTCTGAGAAGCACCACTGTAGCCCTCTGGAAGCCCGAGTCACCAGCGATAGGCTGATGTGAGCTTGAACTCCTGTGGCCCCATCCCTGACCCCACAACTCCAAGTGGCTTGGCTTCAGCCAGGGACAAAGGGCGGCTATCTACAAGCCAACTGGCACTCTCCTGGTATCAGGCAGATCCTCCAGGCCTGGGATCCTCTTGGCCCCAACCCAAGAGGGGTGCTTTGCAGAGACCTGCTTGTTTGAACATCTAAGAACCAAGAGACCCATGCTTGGCACCCACCCATCTACTTTTCTTGCTGGCACCTGCCCAAGTTGCCCAGTTTTCATTTCCTGGTTATTGAGTCTCTCTCTCTCACACATACACACACACACACACACACACACACACACACACACACAAACACACCCCTTTGTGTTGGGTCTCAAAGACATGGGGGTGGGACAGAACCCCCAAACAGCCATTTCTGGCAGTACATCTAATAGTTGCACACACAAGCATTATTGTCACACTTCCTGGGTTGAATCTGGGCTCCTTCCATTCTCACTAGCTTTGAGACTTTGGGCAAGTTATTTAATCTTTTTGTGCCTCATTATTATCTTTTTTTCCATGAAAAATGGAAATAATGAGTAACTACCTCTGAGAGTTTATTTGTTGCTGATAAAATGCCTGGCACCTAGCGTGCTTAATAAACATTAGCTAATCTTACTGTGCAGGCAGAACAAACTCCCCTAACGCCCAGCCAGACAGGTCAGCTGGACATGGTCAAATGTTATTTGCACCCTCATAGAAGCAATGGGGTGTGTCACTCAGGGGCCCTCGTGACTGCTCTCTGCAAGGTAGCAATGGGCAAGTGGGGGTGGGAACGAGCTGAACCAAAGTTTCTAGCTTTGCATAATTATGTTTTGACTGCGGGCAGACACAGGGACGTTTTGACTGTAAGGATAGCCAAGGGGACGGGAGAACTGTGGGATTTGTGCGGGAAACCAGCCTTGCTCAACATACACTCATACACGTCTTATCATACACGCACATGCAACTCATACACACATACACCTTCTTATGCATGCGTAGGCACACTCACACTCTCTTTTACACATTTTCATATAGTTTTTTTTATATGTGTGTCTCCATTTTCACACTTTTTCCACACACACACATTCTCATAGATGTATATGCACACACACACACTGTGACATATGTTCTTACAGCACACATTCTTACACTCACACACATGTTCTGAGACAGACACGCACACGTAGACTCACTTTCACACGTACGCCCCACACCCACCCGGTCGCGTACTCACACACACACAGACACTCACACGCCGTCACCCACGCCTGCTGTGCAGGCAGAGTTAGAGAGGCCTCCCCGGGTGTGGGTGGGTGGCAGCAGCTGAGGACAGAGGAGCAGGACAGGAGGAAGTCCAGGATCACTCTTGGGGAGGAGCCAGGTAAAACCAGACTCGATCCTGTGTCTTCCGGGTGAGGCTGCCCTGGGCAAAACCAAGCCTCTTACAGAGCCAAAGAGCCCAGCCCCACGCTAGGGACTCCCACAAAATGTGGTCGCAGGGAGGAGGCAGGTTTGCTGCAATCTGCCCGGGAGGCACCAGCAGCAGCACCAGCGGTAGGAATGAGCAGCCAGGTGCCAGGCGCTGTGCCGCCTGATTGTACTGCCTCTTACTAAACAACGGCTGGTAACACCACGGTCCTGTGTTGCAGAGGAAGAAACTGAGGCACAGTGGGCTCCTCAGCTCATATGCGTGAGCATCGAGCACAGACCCAGGTGACCCGGGGGAAGTTGGCAGCCACCTCCTGTGCCCCTGCCACACAGAGGGGTGTGTGAGCTGAAGTTTGGGGCTGGAGTGTGGGTGGGGTGGGGCCGCCCAGCACGTGGACAGAGGCAGCTGGGCGGGAAGTGTGTGGCCTGCTCCGGGGAATGGAGGGCGCCAGGTGGGGAGGAGGGCTCGGGTCTGGGAGCGACTTCAATGCTCGATGATCCTCGTTTAGAAGTTTGGCTTTTGTTTCTGCCCTGTGGGCACCAGGAAGAGCCAGGGCCTGGAGAAGGTGACTCTGACGGGGTGGGGGGAAAAGGTCGGAGAGCGGAGGGGGGAGCTCTGGTGCAGCCCACCCGAGGGGAAGTGGGGCAAGTCGTGCCTGGGGGCGCAGCGGGCAGGGCTTCCCGACTGACGCAGGAGGCGGCTGTGGGGAGCGAGAAGCCAGGCCAGGAGGGACGGGGTGTTTCTAGCAAGGCAGCTGGCAGGCCGGTGGGGCGGGCGACCCACGCTAGAGGTGCAGGAGGAGAACACCCAGCAGGAGAGGCGCCGAGGAGTACGGCACGGGAGTCCTCACGCGGAGGGGCTCAGGGGGCAGGCTCGGGGCCACTCTGCTCGGAGGCTCTGCCGCCCCCGGGGCTTGTGGGGCAGGCACGTGGGGCAGTGCCCTGAGGAGAATGCCCTCGTGGGAGGCGGGACAGCTGCCAGTGCCGGACGCCGGAGCGGTCAGGCAGAATATTCCTGGAAAAGGAGGGCCAGTGTGTGCGTGTTGGGAGACTGCCCTTCGTCCTTCCCTCCTGGGGGACTGTGGCTCCCCTGCGGGGAGGAGTTCAGGGCTGCTTTGCTCAGCCGACCTCTCCCCAGTGGGCTGAGCTTGCTCTTCTGACTCCCGGCTCTCTCCACACCTCGAGGATGCTGGGAGGGACCAGGGGCCTGTGGGTGAGACTGAGCCCCGAGCTGAGAACCCCTGAGATGGGGGAGAGGCAGCCAGAGAGAAGATCCCCAGCCGGACCCGAAGGGAGCGGGACTTGACATTGCTCGAGCGTCTCCTCTCCGCCCAGCGTGGGCTCAGCCCCTAGGTGCATGTGCACAGCGGCGTGGATGTGGCAGTGGGACACAGCGGGCGGCTGCTCAGCCCAGAAGAGAAGGGAACCCTGCCACTGTGACAGCAGGGACGGACCTGGAGGACACGATGCCAAGAGAAATAGGCCAGGCACAGAGACAGGTGCCACGTGACCTCACCTCCATGTGGAGTCTTGGGGAAGTGGAGAACAGAAGGGGCTTTCCCAGGGGCTGAGGGGCCCAATGGGGAGAGGCTGCTCAAAGGGTGCAAAGTCTCAGGGAGGCAGGAGCAGCACCTTCCGGAGACCTCTCGCCGCACAGCACGTTGACTGCAGTGAATAATATGTAACGTGCATTTCAAACTTGCTGAGTGAGTAGATTTTAAATGCACCCTGCCTCCCCAAATAAGTACAAGGTGATGACTATGTTAATTAGTGTGAGTTGATCATTGCATAATGTATACATATATCAAAAGACCACATTGTATCCCATATATACAATTATTATTTGTAGAATAAAAATGAAAATCTGTAAATGAGACTCAGTCTCTGCTCTCAAGGGATTCAGAGGCCAGGAAAAGAGAGGCTCGTGCAAGCAGCGTGGGACCGTGGTGGTGTATTTGCTGTAGACGGGACACCAGTTGTAGAACCAGAGGGGAGGGATGGATCGCTTCCTTCTGGAAGGGTCAGGGAACACCGCATGGCACTTTTCACACTGGGCCTCGAATGGTGAGCAGGACTTTCTGAGCACACAGGGACAGAGGGCAGGGTGGGCTCTGGGGGAGGCAAGACATTCTCCCCGAAGGGGAAATCACACCAGGAACAAAGGTGGTTTGGTGCAGAGACTAAGGGAATGGAGGGGTGTGGCAGCAGGGTGGTTGGGGTCAGCTGTGAGCGACCCTGTGGCTCGTGTGAGTGGCAGCCATCCTCCTGCAGCAGGGCACAGTGAGTCTGAGATGACGCGAGGCCCTGTGTCTGTGCTGTCCGGTACAGCAGCCACCAGCCCTGTGGGGCCTCTGAGCACTTACAGTGCGGCTTATGCGGCTGAGAAACTGAATTTTTACTTAACTTTATTTACCTTTAAGTTTTAATAGCCACATGCGACTAGTGGCTCCTGTATGGGACGGCACAGCTCTAGGCAGCAGGGAGCCGCTTAGATGGGGAGCAAGGCAGTACGGGAGTGTGTGAGATGTGATTATAGACATATAACTCATAACCACCTTTGTGCCTGTGTAGGTTTCCTGGAGCTCCCGTACCAAACCATCACAGGCTGGCTGTGCTTAAACAACAGAAGTTTATTTCCTCACAGTTCTGGAGGCTGGAAGGCCAAGATCAAGGTGTCGGCAGGGTTGGATCCTTCTGAGGGCTGTTCTCTGCCTCTCTCCGCATCTGGTAGCTTTAGGCGTGCCTGGGTTGGCAGATGGAATTCTCTCTGTGTCTTCACGTGGTCTTCCCTCTGTGTGTGCCTTGGTTGCAAACTGGCAAGGGGCAGGGAGTTAAGCCTCGGGACAACTCCTGACCAGTGGAGGATGGGAGCCATGGACAAATATTCCTCTCGTTACGACCCTCCAGTAGACAATTAGGAGGTGCGTTTTATGTGGCTCCTCAGAGGCTACCAGTGGGATCGGGCCTCAGTTTCCTACAGTGGAGACTGCTTATAAGGAAGGTACTCTTGCGTCAACCTTCTCCCTCTCTTCCTTTCTCCCTCCCTTCCTTTCTTCCTTCTTTCTTCTCCTTTCCTCACTCCTGTTTCCTGAGGTTTCTTAAAAAAAAAAATAAGCCACCTGCACGCAAGAGGCTTCACTTTTCTGGGGGAAGCTCAGGTTAAGACAGGCTTGGAAGCTCCACCAAGGCTTCTGTTGGAAGGAGAAAGCTGACCTCAGAGCTATGT